GATTTCGCCGTTGATCTTTTACTACGTATGGTATAGACGTTACTAAATTTAACATAGTAAACATCCAAAAAAAGGACAAAATTGCATAAAAATGTCTAGCGTAGATCTCTACTACTACGGCACAACCAATCTTATAATAATGTTAAAAAAAAGGCTTATTTTATGTGTCACTAATCAATAAAATCATTGATTTGTTCAGCATTCAAACATGTGACAAGCTTCAGTATGTTCACGCCCTCTCCATATCTGCATATTAATATTTGGTTTTGGTTAGAATAAGAAAGCTATTAAGATTTATATATAGGATTACCCGTATATTAATATGAAGAATGATAATTATAACGGTTCAACCTGTCGTAGTGCCACACTAGGGGAGCGATTCGCGTAACACTCTTGAGATTTAGCTTTTTCAAACGGAGTTTCGGCTCACTCCTACCGGTCTGTAATCTCAGGCGAGTTGGTGACCTTAAAAGGCTTTACGTATTGTCCGTCTAAGCGAACGTATACACGTATCTGGTAAATTATTATTTCCTCTCGAGATAACTATTGGTTCTAATTAGTCGGATTCAAACTAAAGTCTACTCAGTTGGGAAAGTTTACGCGTAGTTGAATAAGAAATAATAATTCTTCAGGCCGAGAACACGCAATTACGATTGCAAGATTCGTAAATTGCAACCAGAGCCCAGGTAACGTTTCGTTATAACTCCGGCCTTGTGTTAACCTTAGGAACACACTTGCGAAATAAAAGAAACAATTTCACTTCAATTATGGATGTTTATTTGTTAGAATATATAAAGAACTATTCTAAAAGGACAATTGTAAGAAAGGATAGCTGAAGATGATCGTATTGAGAGGAAATATTGATCCAACAATTCGATGATGTTTGAATGTCTAAACCGCGCGCTGTTTATATATCTATTTTCTGTACGTCGTTGGCGGTGCAAAACCATGTCTATATTGGGGGGGGTAAGATTACCGGTGCAAAACGTTGACTATATTGGGCGATTCCGTATACATCAGCGATGCAACATGTTGCCTATATCGAGAGCGGTGCTAAACTATGCCGTCCGCTCCTGCGCCGCTGTTGAGTAACATTATTTGAAATTACTTTTTGTTGCACCGAAATCTGTGCTGCGCCGTCGATTGGAATGTGGTGTTACTGACTGAGGAATACGTGGCATCTGACAAACTGAATATGAAAAAGCAATGCGTTTCTTGGAGATAGGTTGCAATTGTGGTTGTTCAAAAAAGATTTCAAGAGAAGAGTTTGCCGAGTTGCGTGAGGCGTTTCAAGCTCTCTCTAGATCCGAACAAGATATATTTTTAATGGCCCAACTGAAAGTAATGAATGGTGGAGAAATAACTGCCACCCGACGTCTCAAAAAGAAAACGCGTACTAATAGAAGGACTTTTTATTATTGAGATCGCAATACGCCTCTTTGCCAAAAAGCTTATCTCAATATGTTAGGAATTGGTCGTACCCATTTCGAAAATATCAGAAATCACCTGACGATCATACCACGCGTTCACGGTAACGTAAAAAAAGTGCCGCGATGGAAAACCAAAATAACAATTGATATAGCCATTGCGGATTACCAAGTCCCGGTAGAAATGTCAATCGCATTACTCAATCACTTACACTTTTACCAGCTGAAACGAGTTACAAATCAGTCTATCGTGATTTTATTGCAGGCCTCGAAAATGATAGCACGTTGAAACTGTTAAAATATCGCAAGTTATGACACCAATTAACGCCTTATATTCAAATCATGAGTCCGAGAACAGATTTATGTGACACGTGCCAACATTTTCGGAACGGCTTACAATACAACGCTCGTAAGGAGAAAGAAGCGAAAGATTTATTGAAAAAATTCAAAGAACATCTAATTAAGGCTAAATTTTAGTAGACAAATTGAAATAAAGAAAATCAAGGGAAGAAAAAAATTATTTCATTATCTACTGAATTATCAATTGATAATGATAGTATTAAAAACTTTTCTGATCCAAGGATGCCAAGAACGTTCCTATTGGAAACAATTACCCCCAATCTAGAAAAATTAGGTGTGGAAAAAAAGAAAATTGTCAAAGATGAAAATGGAAAAGATAAAAAAACATTTTCATGGAAGAAATAGATGTCCTTCTATCTGCAATACTAAAATAATAGAAGCAATCCCAACCAATCCTAGAAACTACTCCTTAGATAATATTCTAGACTTGCTGTAGGTTATCAAGAATTAAAAGGGGTGTCAAATGAATTTAGAGAAAAGTTATCACAATTAATAAATAGAAAATGAAAAGAGAAATTTATTGATGAAGGCTATGAATCTAATGAGGATGAACTTCCTCCTTTAGATAATGATGAAGAAAATGAAGAACAAGAAGAAACACCACCAACTCCTGAACATGATAAAAAAGATGAAACCATTCTTTCTTTACAAGAGCAACTTACCAAATTAAAACAAGAATTAGCTGAACTTAAAGCTAACCAAGCTAATCTCCCAGAAGCTGAAAACCAAACTAAGAAAACTGCACTCGAAAATAAATTAGAACAATTAATAACTGAAGAAAGAAAACAAACTGTTGCTAATCAACCAACAAATTATCTTCCTTACATTTGGGGAGAAACAACAATAGTATTGATGACAGGAGTTTTTGCCTATCTTACTACGAGCTATTACTATTGAGTTACTTACTTGGATTCAAAAGTCGATTCCGAAGAGATTTCCATTTATAGTAAAGAATGAAGATGGTGATGTGAACATCCATCCGATTAATAACTTTTTAATTCCCTATGACATTAGTTCATCATATTTAAGAAAAATAGGTTCCTATTATAATCCACGAAGGTAAGAATTCCTCTAATATATCTGTTAGGAAAAAGAAAAAAGAAAAATTAGTTTCATATTAATTATTTTTATATAGGGGTAATCCTATATTGATCATGTTATGGTTTATATTCATCACCTTCTGGTATGATAAGGTGAGCATTAAAATTAACAAGTCCATGAGCACCATTATTGCTTTTCAAATGTCATCATTCAATTTACAGCCACATCATAATCAGCCTCTCATTTATATAATGTTCATTTTATCTGGTTTTGTTGCAGCATGCCCCAAATAAGGTGATTTAGATTTAGTATTATGAACTTTCATTTATTGTTACTAAATAGAATAAGCGCTCATCATTATTTTCCCCTAAGCACCTTATTATGTGATTGTGCTCATGGATATAGATAGTCTGAATTCATGGTGGTTGTAATGCAAAATATTCAATTGGTTTATACAATTAATGTGCCGATACAGTAGTATCATATGTCACCAAAGCTGTTTCGAAAAGATTCTTCCAGAGTAAACGGCTTTACATTCTCCTTCAAATAGCTCCGTATCTGCTCTGCAGTATTAAGAACTAATTGGGGCATATCTAAATGAGTAATAAACAAAAATTGACGGACGTTAGGCAAATTGATTCAACGTTTTCGACCCAAACACAAACCGCATGTAAATTCAAGCAGCAACTTTATAAATTACCTGCAGACTTGGCGACTTTTAATGCAGCAGAGGTCCAGTTCACACCACGTCGGACTTTATGTAGGAACTGGAAACTTCCATCCTGTTGCAATAAAATTCATTATACTTGTCGATCCTGAAATTTCTTCCTCAGATGGAAAATCATCATTTGTCGCCACCTACCTTATCCTCTTTAAGATCGGTACAATAGCAACCGGCACACTCAAAATGTTTTATCATATCAGCTAATTCATGAAAATGCGTGGCAAACAGTGTTCTACATCGATTATTATAATATAAATGATATAAAGTCGCAAATGATATTGCGATTCCATCCAGTGCTGTCGTTCCTCTGCCAACCTCGTCCATAATCACCTATGAATTGAATACCATTTAATTATGATAATCAAAACACCAACAATCTTTACGAATATAGCTGCCTACAAATGATCGGTGAGTTGCATGTCTTAGAATATGAGCTGTCTCCATCATTTCAACCATAAATGTCGATTGATCCTGATATATGCTGTCTGAGCCTCCAACCTGATGAGAATGAACTAGTTAATTCCAAAGGGTTGCGGGCGCGTGCAATTGTGAAAGAGAAAACAACTCACTCTGCTAAAAACTTTGTCGACAATTCCAATTTCTGCATAGTCAGCTGGTACAAAAGAGCCGATTTGTGCTAATATAGATATTATAGCATTCTGTCGTAGGAAAGTACTTTTCCCTCCCATATTAGGTCTATACATGGTCCTGGTTTAGTCGAGTTTACATGATAAACTTTGTATACCAATTTCACATTACCCTGTTATAACCCAAAGCCGCTCTTGCTCGCCTACATGACAATCGTTTTGATAAAATTGTCTTCCTTTAGACCTTAATCCACCTTCCACTATAGGATGTCGCCCACCAACAATCCGATGTGAAGTCCTCAATAAGATTGTTATGAGTTCAGTAACGGAAAGTAAAAATAGAAAGCACACCAAAACGCCCGAATGAATACCCGTTATTGAGAACTGGCCGAACAAACCCTTGCTCCTTGGCTACAAGGGCAAGAGAAGATGCAACATCCAATTCATCAAGGATGAAACAATTTTGTAAAGTCTCCAACCATTTATCCAGGACCTTTCGAATAGAATTTTTAGAGAAATCCGAATAATTAACAGCTTATTATATCATTGATAATTTGATACCTTAGCTCGTATTTCCGCATATATTAATGTCTCCTCCTGTTTTATTGAGGCCTTCAGTGTTTCGATTTTTCCACCCAAGGCAGTCCATTGCTTTGTAAAGAAATTATGGCTGACATTAAGTACTGCAAATATCGGATTAAAATATGCAATCCAAAGCTTTTATTTACCGGTGCAATGTACCAATTAATTTTCCCCTGTTGTTTTATTAATATTGCATCGTTCGGCAAGTCTGAACCAGTAGTGCGGCGTATTACAACAATAAACCCGTACTTTGGATTAGAACGAAGCTCAAGAGTAGTTGATTCTGGGGAAAAACAGAAATTTTAAAGATTACAATCAAAAATAGTTCAAGTAATACCAAACGCAATGAAGATACTAACTGTAGTCAGCTCGCCATTTTTTTTGCAGTTCAATCTTTTGACGGTACAAACTTTCCAATTGTTTATGCATCTGCGTCATTCTCGGAGAGGCACTGCGAAGAAGATGAGTATTAGCAGAAAATTTACCACAAATAATGCCAAAAACTACAAAACTTCCTCGTACTCTTTTTTTATCACCCAGTTGTCAGCAGCCAAAAGTGTATCTAGTTCATCGTAAACTGCCAATGATGATTTGACTTTTTTCCGAGGTGTCGCCTTTTTCCTCGACTTGGCAGGCACTTCTGGCTCATTATTCGCATTATCAACTTCCTCCATATTCAATTCCGAATCAATTTCATCTTCGGCTTTTTCTTGATATTCTTTCAACCTGTTTAACGCGTCTTCATCAATTGCTTTAGATATCACCTTTATGAGATCATGTTGCGGTTTTAAGCGCTCCAAAAAAGCTTGAACACTCGCATTCTCCACGCTTCCTGGGTCAGCTTTGATACGCGCTTTCACTCTTATCATGGCGTCCGCCGTTCTCCTAAACTTTATCAGATCGTCTGCGCCTCCACGTTGAAGTGAAAGTCGCTGACACACTCTTTGTGCATCATCACATTCTCCAAGCAATTCGCGAATATCACTAAGCAAATGAGTGTTCTTGTAAAAATATTCTACTAAATCTAAGCGAGTGTTGATTATTGATGTGGAAGTTGAAGGGTGACCTAATGAACAAAGAATCGTGTTAATTAGTCAGTTCATGGGCTACTGCCAGGGATTTAAATTAAACGGCCACTTACATAACCATCGAGTGAGATTACGCGCACCCGACATTGTTCTCGTGCGGTCAATAGCATCTAATAAACTTCCTTTTCTGTTTTTCTCCCGCATAGAAGTGGTAATCTCCAATGAATTCAGAGCTGTTTCATCGATAATCATTGTCTCATGCGCGTTTATCCTCATGGGCGGATTAAATTTGACTTCTCGACCCATGAGATTGTTTTCGACATACTTTTTGAGCGCGGTGGTAGCTCCTAATTCGATCTTTGTGTATTCCGTCAAGTCTGGTGCATCAGTACCCACATCAAAGAAATTCCATGGCACGTATGTGATGAAATACTGGTTCTTGTCAATATGTCGCCACAGTGGATGGGTATCCACTAACTTACACACATCACTAAGCAGTATCTCTCTCGGGCGTATACGTGCAAGATCGCTCGACAATGACTCTATGTTCGAATTTTGCACAAAGAAATCTCCAGTGGAAATATCTACCCAGGCTAGGCCTACAGAGTCCTTTTCTTCATCAAAGGCTACAACAAGTAGGAAATTGTTCGTATTATGTTCAAGAAAGCTTTCATCAATAAGAGTGCCTGGAGTAATTATACGACTGACGACACGATTAAACTTGAGTCTGTCCTCTTCATTCTCATTCGGTACTTCTTCACATATGACAACTGATCGACCTAACTTGTTGACAAGCGTCTCAAGATGGCGATCGATAAGAGAAAGACGAAAGCCGGCAAATGGGAAATATTGCGAGCCAAATTTTCTTCGCGTGAGCTTTATATCAAGGAGCGGAGCCACCTCAGCGGCTTGTTCGAAATATAACTTTATTTTTTTAAAAAAAAAAGTCAGAATATCGTAATAATAAAAAGCAAAGCACATATTAACAAAATATCTCAGACGTGCAAGTTTTTACCTCCCAGAAACCACCAACACGCGTTAACACGACACTATCAGGATATTGTGCTTGAGCCGTTCGAACTGTTTTCCCGAGTGGCGTTTCCCATTCCGGACCTCTCTCATATAGGACAAACGGTTTCCGCGCAGGTTTTAACAGTTCCCCTGGTGAAATTGTATATGTGGTTTTCGTTCTCTTCTGACAAGTGTGCGGGTTTGTGACAAGGTAGTTTAATTGTTTTCCAGGACAGGAATGTTGAGACTGCAAACATGGATTCGCTACAACTTTTTCAAATGCCAATTTTTTTGTCAGATAGCGTTTATGAAAGGTACGCTGGCATTGAGATCTTGCGTTCGAACTTGATATTAAATTTAGAGAGCCATATCGCAGCGAACATTGTGTACGTGCAAACATTGAATTTGTCTGAGAATCCTGGTATGCTCTCTCCAGGTTTATTATGGGAAATACGCGACGTCATAAGCACGCGACAAAACATTAAATATTCCGAAATTTCGGAGAATGTTATGGTTTATAATATCTGTAATAGTAATTACAACGGGCGATTTACATAGTTTTCTTTATTCTTCTACAAGAGGGCCATTTGCCATGGCATCTTCTACTTCTTTTACCTCTTTTTCCATAATTTTGCTTCTTGCTAGCGCTTGTTTTGCTTCATCCAATCTGCCTGCACCTTTAAATAATAATGCAAGCTTTTTATGTTTCAAGATACTTGCTTTAACCTGTGCTATATACTGATCCATAGTCAACTGTCCAGATTCCACTTGGATGACTAAAAGGGACATCTTGATTTCTAAAGCTTGTTTACGATCAATAAGATCTTCAGGAACAGGTTTATGTTGTGTCTTGAAAGTATCAATTTTACTATCAACCAAAGCCATCTCTTTCTCAAGTACAAGATTTGATATTAGGCTTTCCACACTAAAAGGTTGATGTATTGACATATTTAACACAAAAATGTCCACTGAGATATGTTAAAAAAGCGCAAGACCGAATCATGCTTACCTATTCAATTCCTCTTCAGCCTGTTCAAGTTCATTTGATTTTTCAAGTGAAGATTCGTTATTTTTATCCTGATGTTGTTGTTGAGGTGGTGTCTTGTTTCTAGTATGAGCTACATTATTCTGAACAGCCTCCCGTTCCGGTCTTCTGGCAGGATTGGCAATATTGCTTTTTGTTGTCGCCGTTGTTGTTGTAGTTGTACTTGGTGTCTGTGGGACTCTCTGTTGTGAAGAAGTTGATATGGAATCGGCTCTTGTAGATGATGAAATGGGAGTTTGACTGGGAGTTGAAGGAGTCGAAGGTATCATTGACATTCCTGCCTCGTTTGCAGTCTGAGCTGATAATGTTTGAAGTGCTGAAAATACAGGATTGTTCCTATTGAACTCATCTATTATCAACCACTTTTCTGTTCTAGTAACAACCTCAGCTTCTTCAAGAGGTGTTTGCAGACGTATACGCACTTCCAACTTGCCGCCAGTGGGTTTGCGATTGTCACACAACTTTTCAAAATTTAGAGAATCATTAGTCAATGTTGTAAGTCAGAAACACAAGAGTGTCATCCTCTATAACCTGAATCTTGAAAAGATAGTCTTACTGCTGAACTCATATTGTCCTACAGGAAATCAGCAAATAAAAATTTTTAACACTGTCTCATTAAATTACCTCCAAAACTTCATGAATTTCAGCTTTCTTTAGAAGGCCATCTAATTTAAGTACTGCTTTGCCCAGTGATATCGGTTTCCAAATCATCCCTATTCCTCGATAATGAAAAACTTCAAAAACGGCTTTTTTTCGTTCAATATGTCTTCTGAAAGCCTTGGAACGTTCGATGGGAACAATCTTTGAATAATTAAATACTGAAGAAATAAATAAACAAGTTAATAAATAATAGATAATGAGACGTCACATAACTTATTCAAATTCTCCTTACCTGGTTCCATACCCTTCTTAGCTGAAGGGGTCTCCCCTTTGCCTTTGCTTGATCCGGAATTATTATCTGAAGGCCATCCAATATCCCAATTAACATAAGCAACAACATCTCTACCAGGAACGTCCTTATGTCCTAAATTCCATGCGCGTTCTACGCGAACGTCCAGCTCATTTGGCGACAGTTCTAGAAACGCGTTCTCAACAGTATAGGTTACTTCTTGAAAGTGATACGCGGGAATATTTTGCTTGTGATCACGTAGTGATGCTAAAGAATCATAATCGGCCATGAAGACCTTCTTAAACCGTAAATATAACGCCGCTGTGTTCTTATTTCCAGTCTTGTAATAATATTTCATTAAAGTCTGACAAAGCTCAATCTGAGATTTGAGCTTCGAAAGCAAATGTTCATACTGCTCCTGCTTAGACATCTAATAAAGATAGACAAATCAGTATTGCGTCAATTCTTGAAAAGTTACTAATAAATGGATAATTCTTATCGTTCTTGTCGTTTCGACCATATCCATACCGTGCTTAAAAGTCTGTCTTCATCAACAAAATTTACGCTATTCACTGTAGCAAGGTTAATCTGGTTCAAGGTTGCTCTTGGAGTACTAGCGGCTACAGGCTTCGCAGGTGCCGGAGTAGCTGGTACAGGTGTTGTGATAGTTGGTTTGGCGAGTGGTTTGGCAGGCGGTGTGGCAGGGGGTGCTGCAGGCGGTGTGGCAGTCGGCGCAAGAGATGGTCCGGCAGGTTGAGATGAATCTGAAACGGTCAAGTCAGACAGATCTGGTTCAGCCGGTAATGCAAAATCAGCTGCTAATTGTCCTCCGCTTTCTAAAGTCTTAATTTGTTGATTTACGCTGTCATAAACTCGTAGCATTTGCTCAACGCGCTGACGATTTTGTGCCTTCTTATACCTCAACGCAGCGCTTCTGTATTGTTGCAGACGATTTCTTAAACTATTAAGTTGCGCAATTTTCTCGGCATTCGCAACCGATTCATCAACAGCTTCCGTCGTCGGCACTTGAACAGAGTTCACTGGAACCTCCTCTTGTCGTGTAGGGTTCGACGAAGGCCCCGAAGTCAGAGCTTCTAATTCGCCCTACTCGAATAAAGTCTGTTTCAGTTTGATTCTACAAGAACTACTGTGACGGAATTAGACAAACTGGTCGTAGTCGATAAGCTACCAATAATTCAGGATTGGTCATGTCGCTATCGGTAAACGTTTCGTCAATGGGAGCGTCTAGTTCATTCCCCAGGGCTGCAATATCAACACCCATATCTCCAAAATCAAATACATCTGTACCATGAACGTTGGTGTTCTCGTCAGCCATTTCGTTATTTTGTACTTGACCAAAGCCAAACATTGATAGTTATAAAATGCGAGCGGTAAATTCAATGCTTTAAAAGAAACTGGCACGTGTTGTTGTACTACACTTTGTTGCAACCAACTTTTGTTAATAATATGAAACTGAAACAAACGTATTTATTATAAATAGGGTAGATTATTCATCATGTTTAATTCTAATATCCTTGAAATAATCCGATCTATTAAGCCCTAATAATAAAGGAGCCTTGTTCTATTCAACGAACGCGAAAGCCTTTAAAGCTTACACCCAAGATTTTAAAAACACCTTGGTAGTATGATATGGACAAAACCAAATTAGTAATAGTTGTTGCCATCAGTTAGGAAGAAGCGCATCACGATCGATTTTCTAAAGTAAGAATCGGGATCGTATATAAAGAGCTATATGCTTCCGCGTTAGCTGAAACGACATGTTTGATGATTGCACAACCTTACCGTTAAATGGTGATTCCGCCTAGTCATTGACCAATAAAAAGCCGTGAAATTGCTGTTAAAAATCGGAACGTTCTTTTTAGACGTAGCAATGAATAATGGCCGAACACAAAATGTATGAATTAAGTCGATTCGCAGTTATTGTCTAATACCTTGACCACTTAAAGATCCTTATATACTTTTATAGCTTCATTTCTGCTACCTTTCCATCATTAAATCTTGCTAGCATTGCTCAACAGGTACTGGTTGTTGACAAAGAGTTGAATACTGATGTAATCAAAAGAGATATCCGGGTTGAGGAGGACAAACTGATCATGTAAGTTCATAGAGATGCTTTCGAGTATATGAATACCTGAATTCATTTGAAGATGTTTACTCTCGCTAGTGACGTCAGCTCGAGCAATTTGAAGATGCTGCGTGTTTCAGTTAATGGTTTCTTGGATATGTTGATAACGGTTACGAAGACTATGGAAACATTCGCTATAAATAACTAGCACACTAGACGTTGTCATCCTAAAATTGCTAAACATTGTGCAACTTACAATCTGTTTAATTAGTAATAATTGTATTTCTATCTACCCATCGATGATGGCGCAGTCTCTCCTCGCGATTCCGTAAATTCTGTAAAGTGAACATGGACGGTATGAGGCAAATTCATAACCGCCGTCGAAACGTGCTCTCATCGTTATTGATAGATTACTTAAAGTCTACAAATGGAAATGCTTGAGCTCGCAGGAAACGTAGTTTCTAATTGAGGGAGTCAGTAAAATAATAAATATAATGATGGTATTAATATTTGCGTAACAACATATTTCTTACGCGCACAAATGTAATATCTCGATATTTTATAATCACGATTCGCTTACATATAATATATATCGCTGTGTAAGGAGATATAAGTCATTGTAAAAAGGCTAATGAAGTTTGCAATTTTAATTTTCGCATTAGAAATATACTGAGCGTGACGTGAGCTGGTAAACCTGACCACGGAACTAACTCTCGGCTTGGAAGGAATGTTTTAAATTCTCAAATGTCTTATATCATTGTTCCCAGTTATCTAAAGACATGAAATGCAATATGAGATAAAAGAAACAAAATGTAATACTACTATTTTGATCTCTCAAAACTAATCGTTGAATCTACTACAAAGTAAAGATCAAGAGTCTTACTACCAGTGAAACGCTCAATGGTATTGTCTGTGATTGTTTGAAGCACTATACCAAGCCTTGTTCACTTAGAATGCGTGAGTGAGGGTGGGCGGCTTGTGAGTTTGCAATGTATCCTCTCCACAGTAATATACTTGTAAGAATATTAAAGAGCGCCGAGAATCTTTCGCCGAATATAAAATAAAAAGAGGCTATTGTCTTTCAAATAATGTTGTTATTGACACTGAACGCGTACTATGTAACCGCAAGAATATTGCATCTGAATCTTATAATAATTTATTATTACACTCTGACTATACATTCAGTTATCGCTCTAAATTATTAGCAAATTTTATAATATTGAACAAGAATCTGCTCTATCTCCAAGACTCGCATGTAGATTATAATTTTTCTAAATGACATTAGTGTACTAATCCAAAGAATCTTAACCCGTTTCTCCCATAGTTAAATAGGTGCCATGTTACCAGTTTTTATACTCTCTGGCATACGCAATTGATAATCTAAAATTCATGGTTAAATTTTACAGACAACATTAATAACGATAAGCAATTTGCATTAATCATTCTCAGATGTACCCCATCGGAGCTTACCTCCATTCTGAGTGATATATCTCACCCACGGTAGGGCTTGATACCCACTCTTTTCCACAATCTTCAAATATCTTACTTGGATACCAGATACCGTAAAGTATGGTATTTCAAATTTCACGGCAATCGGAGGTTTTGTTTCTTGGTCTTCAGCTGGGAAAGATTTCAGAGAGTTAAAATGATTATTACAAGCATGTTGACATGTCCTAAAAATTGCTGCCTACATATATTGGCGATTTTGAAAGGCCCAGCCAATACAAGTATGTAAAGTAAAACCTCCTCAATCAACAAAATGACTGTTCGCTGACGACAATATTTATAACGTGCGCATTACGAAGCCAACTCTATATCATCCAATTGTCTTAATACCGCCAATGTCATTCTGGCCTTCCTATGATCTGTGAAATTCTCCACCCAAAACCTGAGTATACTCACAACTTTGAACAGAGGGCAGAGAGAAATGAGCTCTCATTATGAATTCTTTGCCACCTTGAAATTGTTTAATTTTCCACACGAGACAAGACTTCTCGGGAGCGTATTGGACTGATCCAACGCTACTCTATTAACGATACCATTTTAACTATCGTGAGTGAGATTATATTCACCTGTATCATGAACAAAAAACACACTACTATGGAAACTGTACCAACCCTAAATTTTGGTGCTGCAGCATCATCTGGCACGGGAACATTAATTTCCACATTATTCGCCGTCGACCGTCGTTTGAACTGAGCTTTTGCCTTGATCATATACTCCACTCTCGATCCAGTATGGCTTTCCACAGCAGCCTCCACCCAGATCAAAGGTTTAACCTGTTAAACGTTAAACGTAATTGTAAAAAAAATTAAGTCTTCCAAACAACCTCTCATTAACTAACATATCGCAAACTTCATTCTTACTTGAGTGTTCAGTCTATAGCTCATCAACTCAAATTCACCGTCGGGTGGTATAAATGAAATCGTACGATCGTTCTCAAAACGGGACAATCGTACGCATTGATGAAACTTTACATCTTCCATTTCGATAGCTTTCCCCCTTGCAGCCCTCCCAGTGCTCTCAAACATAACTTTATCGTTCAATCCTAATCTCAACTCAGGCATGCCACTCAGATAACATTTCATCTTAATTGCACCAAGGATTTCACTCCGTAATACATTTCCATTTGCATTCACAAGTAGATTGACAGACTCGATCACATCTAAAAATACTTCGTTTTTCCGATACTTTATTCCCTCAGAACGCCAAGAGACTGCATTAGTAACTGCCATTGGTGGTCTGACTTGAACCTCTAATTTATGTGATTCCTGGGTTATGTACCTACACGAACAAATTTTTTTTATAAACGGCGTCAACATAACGAATATTAGCGACGATTATATGAATAAAACACAGCGATCACGAACTCTTGCAGAATTTTAGTCTCCGTAGTTTGAGGATAACCAAAGTCCATCATCTCATCCAACAATTCGTAAATAATTACGAAGTTATCTCGGATAGATTCCTCTTCAAGTTCTTTAAAATATTCTGTAAATACCTGAATTGTAAGAGCACAGAGTGTTATACAATATCAAGACATTCTTAGAAATGTGATTGAGCTATTTGCGCACCTCGGTCAACTTGTGAAGAAACAACAAGATAGTTGTAGCATTAGAATTTTTCTTTGTCAATGCAAGTACTATGATTTTGAGTTAACTAGCGTCAAGGACATATGGAGAAGAAGGATCTATGTTGTTAAAGCCGGGGATAGCACCGTCAAGTAAATTATGTAGAAAATCCAGTCCGACAATTTCACAGTTTAACCATTCAAACCAAAGGATACAGTACAGATTGTTATGACGAATATATAAGTAGTTTATTCCTTCATGAGTAAAACAAGGTGTAGGTGCTTGCTGTTCCTCTTCTGCTTCCAGAACGAGCGGCATGAAATTTTCCACCGCAGACATAGGTATATCCCCGCGATAATTGCGAGAAATAAGTACCTTCCCCTTCAGATCTAGTATGAAAATCGCAGACGCCATATTAATATCCAGAGATTAACTAAACAGGCTGTCCACGTTTCAGCGTAATAGTATTTGCATTCTAGTTGCACAATCTCGCTCTGGTCAATCAATTACGGGCTATAAAAAATTTTGTCGTATACATTTATGGAAACTTTCCAGATTGGTTTCCAGCACACACCTATTGACCAACCATATTTGGTAAGTGACGTAGAAGTAAATTGATGCATTAAGCAGATTACCTCTACATTGTTTTGCAACGCCATGATGTGACCCCCAGATAGTACTACCCCCAGACGCTTAGACCAAGAGCTATAAGGTCACACCCATTCTTGCTCTTCATCGCTGCCTGGCGAGAAAAATGAGAATGTATCTATGCCAGTGCGTAACAAAAAGACTGGATTTTTTTATGTGACATAAACGCGTCTCACGCGTTTGTTTTCTGTCCGATTCGGAAGATGTATATTTGAGCGTTGCTTAAATGTTAGACAAGGGTGTGCCTTTATACTCGGTCGATCCCGATTCTTAAACGCAATCTTCGTCTGCATAAACACAATGTTCACTTCTAAGCAAGAACACAACGTCAATGTACTGTATATGACATTTACAGAATGAGGGCATTCGCAATGGCCGAGAAATTCATCGCCAATATTCTCTTTATTTATAAGAAAAGGATAAATTGCGGATGTTGTATTTGATACAATATTATCCCGACTAGTGACGTATGAAGTTCACGTTGATAATCGAATAGGAATTGAGTAACGACTAAAAGAAACTCGAAGACCCTTCATTCTCAGAGCTCCAACTTCCGATAAAGAAACGTCTAATATAAAACACATTAATACTAAGCATTGCTACTATTAGAAAACGTATTAATATAGTATAAAAACGTTAGTATAAACGTTTTCTTACCAGGGTATTTTAGAGCTTTGAGACAATCAGGGTGAAGATTCATATTAATTTAGATGCAAAGAACACGCGAGAAACCTATTACTAATAACCAAATAGTTCACAAGAACAAATCAAAAAACAGTCGACGTTGTACTCAGGGTAGTATTTTCAATTCTATAAAAGATCAAATACGGCCATATAATAATCGTAAATTGGTACACATGTGAAACCAAAGCGATATTTAATTATGAAGAAGTATGTCGATATCTAAAATAGTAGAATCTTCATCAGAGGAAAGTGATGTTTCAGAATCTTAAAACTAACAGTTGGAACATCTACGATGAAAACGAAGCATATTTATTACTTCTAAATCCAACTTTAACAAAATTAAAGAACAAATTCGGTACAAAAACGAAAATCAAATTCATAAAGTAGAAAACATATTAATATTGAAAGCCATTATAACGTCGAGCTTTGTTTAGTCTGGTGATGCAGACCTTTTCACTACATCTATACACAATCCACTGAATCAATCCGAAGCTACATTTGAATTTCGTGTGCCCTGGTACCATTCAATATTTTCATAATACCCGCAAATTACCAAGTACAGGTAAAACCAAAGAGTAGTATTGTTTTTGTTTTGTCCGCCCACATTGTCACAAGTAATTTTTAAGTACTTTTCACTTCTATTCAATTGCTTAATCCCATCAAAGGCTAGGCTAAGGGTGCCATTCAGACCTTTACCAAGAAGTTCATTCTCATCCAATACATAATTAATTTGCTCACAGATTGCTTCATCTTGGATACCAAACAAATGCACTTTGCGAGCACTAAGATAATACAATCTGTTGATCCGAATGGGGTACGTGGACATTTTGCACTCAATTGTAGCTGTAATGAGCAGTAGCATCAATGCTGCAATATTGAGTCTTAGCATTTGTCAATGGATATTGATTGATGAGTTTTCTTTGTTCTTCTGCCAACTTGGTATTTTTGTTATAATAATTTCTCTCTAGTTTGGCTTTAGCCAGATAGATGCTCTTTATATTTCTTTAATAGATCTTGGGCCACTTCTTCTTTATGAGCTTTGAATTGCAAGTCGTTTTGCAAATGCTGGCAAGTATTAGTATTGCATGTCCTTGGACTCATGATTTGAATATACAGGGTTAACTGGCACCATAATTTGCAGAATGCATCATACTTGAGGTTATTATTATGCAATTTATTATTAACTTCCAGGCCACAGACCTGCAGTCAATTGATTGAGTGACTCAATTAACATTTCTAGCTGCCATGAACTTCAGCATAATTTAACAAAAAATTCTTGACCATGGTAGCCACATAAATATTGATGACTATCCTGGTTTTTCACCATGGCATTCTTTTTACATTACCATGGACCTGTGGTAGTTTAGCAAATGTTTTCAAGCATATTGAAGTATTATGATTTCAGCAGTAGACAGTTCTCTTGTTAATGCGAGTCTTGTTCTTAAAATGTCAGCTAGTACTGGTTGTGCCTCCATACATGGCTCTGAGTTGAGCCATTAAGAAAATGTCCTGTTCAGGTTTGGTAAGAGTTTGAAAGTCTTCCCTCAGTTCAGCAAATTCTTCTTTGGGCAGCTTGGCACCTACAGCCTAGTTCTAAAAAACGGAGAGCTTTCTCATATTCATTCATGATTGTGTCATCTACCATATATATATGTATATTAATATATGTTTTATGTATATGTGCAGTTTTTCTGGTTTTGTAAAATTTTCCAATTCTGCAGTGAATTAATTTAGTATTATTATTATACATAGGGGTGGTTGTGTATGTAAAATGAAATATATGCTATGGAGCCCAAACTTTACATTCTCTTTTGAAGCAAGAGCAAGGTGAAAAAATCACCCCTTATATTTTCAAACTAAAAAGCACACAGACTATTAAGGAATATCTGGACCAAGAAAAGATAATTTATGAAGTTTACCAAGAAAAAAGACCAGAAAAAGTTCTTAAATGGATGTTGGCCAAACAACAAAAAAATAGAGGAATAAGAGGGTGGTCATAGTCATAGGGAGAGATACTCCTATACACCCTTTTTGCTATTCTAATTCCTGATGATAATGAGTGCATAAAGCCATGGTTGAACAGGCAGCTGAAGTAGTTATGTCACAAGATTGCATTAAGCCAGAAATCCACTTCTTACACTACTTGCATTTTATTTTTTTCCTTGTTTTGGTGTCCTATTTACATTTAAAGCTGGGTCATTTTTAGTGCCAATCTGGTGACATTTGCTGAGCATGTTCTCAAAATATAATTCTTTTACTAAAACCTCTGTCTGGAGCAACTTCTCCTGCACAAAAATATAGCATAAACACGACTGAGCAATCATAGGGAAACAACAGGGCAAAAATTAAAATACCTTGACTTCATTAAGCACACAGTATGCTTCTTCAAACAGGCCACAATTTTCCTCTTCTGATGGTAGAATGTATCTATCAAGCAGGCCAAATCTGTAGAGTCCGCTTCCTTGCCAGTCCATTGCATAAAAATTTACTTCCAGCCCTGCATTGAAATGAAATCCATTATTTATTATTATTTCATGTACAGTCTGCATATCAGATACCAGTCAGATGAACACACCTATTTGTAACCATCCATAGACAACCAAAGCTTTTCTTCTATCATCAGATATGTGTAGGCAGTCTTTAAGTATATGATTCAAAGAGTCTCGCATGATAATTGCCAGCTTGACTTTGTCAAGATATCTCTTCTTTCGACATGCCAAAGGAATTCCAAAGGGACCTAAGCCACCTGCTACTTTGCCAAACAAGGCCTCAAATTTGATAGGTGTCTTTAATAGGGTTACTTTCATATCAACTTTTCTACCAAGCTGTGCTTGCTGGAAAGAATCTGCATTGGAATTTCTAGTGTCACTTGTTGCAATTGATTGGATCTCACCCCTAGATGGGCAAAAGTAATAGTATAAGTAAGCATTATTATTATACTGTACTTAATACATCCTATGAGAAAATACTTACCACGAATCCTTAATCGTATCAGATGAAATTATAGAACGGAATAGAGGGAAAGTCGATATCATCTTTAATTCTTCCTCTGTCATGGCACCACAGAATGAGTACATATTCTCTTTTCTGTGAAAACAATAAGATGATCAGATGACACCAAAGGAATGTTGTATACATAAAACACATAATGAGCTAAATACATGAATTGTATGTTGTGATGAAGCTTCTTCAATTGATCATTATTTATATTGTCATTGTGGGTGATTTCACAGTTTCCATTAAAGTACTCTTGAAGATTATATGGTGCCAGCTTAGGATTCCAAGCAATGCTGTTGGCAAAATCCTGTGACAACTCGCAGATTTCCTTCTCCGTGAACTCCTCGCAGCCATATAGGCTTTCCTTGGTCAAGTCCAAAATACCCCAATAGGCAGGTCTAAAGGATGATAAGCAAATTGGTGATAAATGATCAGCACACAGATGTATTATTGAATATTGATGAAATAACCAACGTGGTGATCCGATTACGATGGCTTTTCAGGATTTTTGCCTGGTACTTTTGAAAGCTTCTAAAATAATGGCTGGTGCCCTTAGTATTAGAGCATGCCTGCTTTGTTGGTGCCTAACAAGCATCATACATAAGTAATGAGCTATTATCAGGGGTAAATTTGTTTGTTGTCAGATTTTATATCACATAGTAATATATCAAGTTCTAGTCCATTTCGATATTCTTGTGTCTTTAAGAAATCGGGTCTGCGGATTGGTGAGGGGGCACCAAGATACTTTGTTAAAATTTCATGACACAGCTTTTCTCTCTTATATATTATATTTTGGACAGAATGGACACCATGAGTTTGAGCGTTTAACGTTATCAAAAGTAGCAAACCATCTATGCTTTTTATCACAAATCCATAATAAAGCTAAACGATTATTAATATAATATTCAGAAAGACAAGCTCCCTTACTATTATAAGCCAATTGTTTGGCATCTTCAAGTGTACAAGGCCTATTAGTTGCACAATACGGACACCACGTCTTATTATTTTTCACATTGTTAAAAGATGCGTTCCACTCATGCCCTTCAGAACAACGCCATGATAAAGGTGAAAAACTATTATCATACATTTCAGAAAGGCATTCTCCATTATTACTAAAAGCAACTTGCTTAGCATCTTCAATTGTATGACTGACCTTGTTTGCACAATATGGACACCACGACTTGCCATCTTTGATATTATGAAGAGATGTAGTCCATTCATGACCATTTGCACATTGCCATCGCATTGGGGTATTAGCATTAATGTATTCAGCAGAAATACATGTTCCATTTCTACTACAAGCTAACTGTCTTGCATTCTCAATTGTAAGAGGTCTATTACCTGCGCAATATGGGCACCATGTCTTACCATTTTTTATATCATTAAAACTCGCCATCCAGTCATGTTTTCTAATACAACGCCATAACAAAGGTGAGCGATTATTAATATATCTAGTTGAAAGACAAAGTCCACCACGTTCTTTAGCAATCATACATGCATCACTTAATGATAGCTTTTTCATTGTTTTTTAGCTGTAGTTGAATCTCTTTTTGTAAATCTAATGGAGTATCGAATCTTAATCTAATTGCAAGTGGATCATCTTCTGGCCTGTCTAAATCAAACACAATGTTACGGAGGTATCTGTTAATAACTATGGAAGCATTTTTCACATCATCAGTATATCGACGAATAATTTTAGATATTTCTTCATGCGAACTACCAGAGTTGAACAGTACTAAGTGGGAGATATTTTCTGAATAATAATTGGAACTTTGTGATATTTTTGTGTTACATAGATTGGACTTATATTTCGATGACGCCCATGTGTGAAAAATGGAATAATTCGATTTTGTATCGACTCTGGAGCAATACATAAATCCTCAAAAATAATTACAGTACTTCTCTCAGGTGAAAATGATTTTACGCTAGGAATTTTTTCAGGTGAGATATATTTAAATCTAATATTTTCATAGTTATGTTGATAAATTTTACCTTCATTCAAATTTGGAGTATGTTCTAGCCACATATTTTTTAATTCAGTGAAAAATGCATTAATACCAGCTGGATTAGCAATTTTTATCCATGTATAAAGCTCACCTGGTAAATGATTTTTAAAACTTGTGCATCATCATCTGCTACTCCTATTATTAGTAGTCGAATTCTAGCTTCATAAGTATCAGGAGTATCATAAGGCTGATATCTTTCTTGAGTCAATCTTTGAATTGCAGATTGTTGGCTACCTATTGTCTCTCTTTGATATTTGGCGTTTAAATAAGCTCGTAGTGTAGCAGGTGTATTTATAGCAGGATTACCTTGAATAAAGGGATTATCAGCTGGTACTGGAGCAAATTTATCTCCTATTTTACTTTTTAATACATCGCATTTAACAGCATCATTGAAATCTCCTGCATTTGCAGTTTCAAGAGCCGTCATTTGAGGTACTGCAATAGACCATGCTTGTTCTAATGTATTTACATAATCATCAGGTGGCATTTGGCCTATATATTGTGGAATTGGTTGAAAAGATTGATATATCAATTTTAATACTGGTCGTCGTCTACCTTCTGCCATATTTTGTGGGTTATTTTGTAACAATAAAATTTGTCCCTGCAAATTTAAAATTAATTGTTCTGCATTTCGAGTTCTATTTTTCCACTTTCCCCATTTAAGATCGATCTGGATATCACATAAATGTAAATCATTTTCCAACGTATCTATTCTGATACGACATTGTTGTAATTCTAAAAAATACTGCCGGCATACAACTCTTTCATTATTATATGCAGTAGTTATTAAGTTTAGATTTTCTTGAGTTTGTGTTAACTCTGTTTGACGTATATCACGTTCTGCTTCTGCATTATATCTTCGTTGTTGCTCATTTATAAGATCGGTTTGAAGATTGTTGTATTTGCGACGTATCTGTCGTGTTACTCTTTTTATTTGGTTGGATAAAATTGTTCTATTCGTTCCTGTAATATCCAAATAACCATCAATAGTATCGGCTAACTCAATTATTGTTGTCATATCTGGATCAGATGTATAACTATCCTGAGAATTTTCATCTGATTCATATTCATTTGACGTATCCCATATCTGAGCATTTTGCAAAGTTTCTTGAGTATTTATAAGTTCTGCTCTATCTCGATATCTTAATAATGCTAATGCAAAGTTTTGACAATGTAAATCTGTAATACGAGTTTTTTTCTGAGCTAATTTTTTGTCTCGATCTCTAAGATTATATTTTAAAGTATCGATTTCACGTTTGAGACGTTCATTCTCATCTATTAACTTTACCGTTCGGTTGTATGCTTTAAGAGTATTACCTGCAGATTTTGATATTTCTCGAATTCGGGTTTTGAGTTTCTTTTCTCTTATATCAAATTCAGCTAATTGA